GTTGGTTGGGTGGTTATATGGTGGGTGGTTAGCTGGTTGGGTGGTTAAAAGGTGGGTAATTAGTTTGTTGGGTGGTTGAATGGTGGGTGGTTGAATGGTGGGTGGTTAGTTGGTTGAATGGTGGGTTGTTCGTTGGTTGGGTGGTTTAAAGGTGGGTGATTGAATGGTGGGTTGTTAGTTGGTTGGGGTGTTAAAAAGTGGGTGGTTAGTTGGTTGGATGGTTCAAAGGTGGGTAGTTAGTTGGTTGGGTGTTTCAATAGTGGGTGGTTAGTTGGTTTGGTGGTTAAAAGGTGGGTGGTTAAAAGGTGAGTGGTTAGTTGGTTGGGTGGTTAAAAGGTTGGTTGTTTGTTGGTTGGGTGGTTTAAAGGTGGGTGGTTGAATGACGGGTGGTTTGTTGGTGGGGTGTTTGAATGGTGGGTGGTTAGTTGGTTGGGTGGTTAAAAGGTGGGTGGTAAGTGGGTTTGGCGGTTGAATGGTGCGTGGTTAGTTGGTTGGGTAGTTGAATGGTGGGTGGTTAGTTGGTTGGGTGGTTGGTTTTTAGTTGGTTTGGTGGTTGAATGGTGGGTGGTTGAATGGTGGAAGGTTAGTTGGTTGGGCGGTTGAATGGTGGGTTGTTTGATGGTTGGGTGGTTTAAAGGTGAGTGGTTAGTTGGTTGGTTGGTTCAAAGGTTGGTGGTTGAATAGTGGGTGGTTAGTTGGTTGGGTGGTTCAATGGTGGGTGGTTCAATGGTGGGGGGTTAGTTGGTTGGGTGGTTAGTTGGTTGGGTGGTTGAATGGTGGGTGATTAGTTGGTTGGGTGGTTAGTGGTTAGTTGGTTGGGTGGTTGAATGGTGGGAGGTTAGTTGGTTGGGCGGTTGAATGGTGGGTGGTTAGTTGGTTGGGTGGTTGAATGATGGGTTGTTAGTTGGTTGGGTGGTTGGTGGTTAGTTGGTTGGGTGGTTGAATGGTGGGTGGTTGAATGGTGGGAGGTTAGTTGGTTGGGTCGTTAAAAGGTGGGTGGTTAGTTGGTTGGGTCGTTTAAAGGTGGGCGGTTGGGTGGTTGGTCGTTAGTTGGTTGGGTAGTTGAATGGTGGGTGGTTGAATGGTGGGAGGTTAGTTGGTTGGGCGGTTGAATGGTGGGTGGTTAGTTGGTTGGGTGGTTAGTTGGTTGGGTGGTTGAATGGTGGGTGGTTAGTTTGTTGGGTGGTTAAAAGGTGGGTGGTTAGTTGGTTGGGTGGTTGAAAGGTGTGTGGTGACTTGGTTGGGTGGTTAAAAGGTGGGTGGTTAGTTGGTTGGGTTGTTAAAAGGTGGTTGGTAAGTTTGTTGGGCGGTTGAATGGTGGGTTATTAGTTGGTTGGGCGGTTGAATGGTAGGTGGTTAGTTGGTTAGGTGTTCGAATGGTGGGTTGTTTGTTTGTTGGGTGGTTTAAAGGTGGGTGGTTGGGTGGTTGGTGGTTAGTTGGGTGGGTGGTTAGTTGGTTGGGCGGTTGAATGGTTGGTGGTTAGATGGTTGGGTGGTTAAATGGTGGGTGGTAAGTTGGTTGGGTGGTTAAAAGGTGGGTGGTTAGTTGGTTGGGTTGTTAAAAGGTGGGTGGTAAGTTTGTTTGGCGGTTGAATGGTGGGTTGTTAGTTGGTTGGGCGGTTGAATGGTAGGTTGTTTGTTGGTTGGGTGGTTTAAAGGTGGGTGGTTGAATGGCGGGTGGTTAGTTGATTAGGTGGTTGAATGGTGGGTGGTTAGTTGGTTGGGTGGTAAATCACATTATCGAGAAAAATCAAAAATCTCGGTCTTGACAGTCGATATTTGCAGGCGCTTGTCATTTCGTGCCCGTCACGAAGGTTTCGAGCGACTCAGCTGACTAGTTGGATCAAATCGTCGTTGATTGAAATTATTAATAAATCCACAAAAATTTTAATTCATCTGCCGTCGAATAAACAATATAAACCAAATTCATGTCCCCGGCGAGTCGATTTGCAAGCGCGTACGCCATTTCGAGTCTGCAATGACGGTTAAAGCTGTTATAACTCTTCTCTTGGACGAGCATTAGCTTAACTAGAAAAGAAATAAATGTAGTTTATCTTCGTTGTTAGAGTATATTTTATAATACATTAATTTAAATGAAATATCCAAAAACAAAAGCTACATTCATGGCTGTACATTACTCAATGAAGTTGAGTACACGGAAAAAAAAGCTCGGTAAACGGTACGAAAACGCTAGTTGTGACAACAAAACTCATTTTTGTAGCCGCTACCAAAATATTTTAGTTACAACAACTATTATCCTAGTTGCTGCAACAAAATGGATTTTTATTGTCCTAACCGAGAAAATAGTTGCCATAACAAATACATTTTAGTAGCGAGAACAAAAACAAATTTTGTTGTTGCAACTAATACAGCAGTGTACGGATGTCAATAGCAGACACCGTCGGCTCGCGGCAGTCGCAGCGGACTGCATCTTCGTGACAGTTGACCAATTTTTCGTTCGAACGTTCGAAAATTTAAGCGGGAGAGGGCACAACGGGCCGATTAACGCATACATACGCATACATGGTATTGTGTTTGGAAACACGAGTCAAGAAGAATAAATGATAAAAATGTATGAGTGTGCATCTATTGAGTTCGAAGCTATAATAGCGTGAGCCGTACACATACAGTATGTGATGTTTGAGCGAGCAACAGACACGAACACGCTCGGCAACGAGGCGATGGCTGCGGCACGCCCCGCTGCGAGGCAAGAGCGAGCGTGAGAGAGATAGAGGTATCTATCGCTGTACAGACACTACAGAGCCGAGAAGTTTTCGTCCGTGCTACGCATCGGAGTAGAGGGGAGCGAACAAACTCTCGGTAGATGGCAGGCCCTTTGATATTAGTGAAGTGTGAGGTTATTAGTGTCTTTATTCGGTGTTAATTATGATCGAGTGCATGAGTTTTTGCTAGAGATTCTAACGACAGCATGGGTACAGCGGATTTCTATTCAAAGCATAAAATCAACATGTAGTGGACAGCAAAGACTCGAGCTCAAGCAAATTACGAAATCTGTCCGATTTCTTGTCGAAGAAGAACTTCGACATGGTCATATCAATTTACCGATGTCCAACGGAGGTGCTAGTCGAGGGTCGAACTTCATGACCCTCGGATACTAAACTCGAAGACTCGCTGAAGATTAATCGGTTCCACTCATCACCAACGTTAAGTATGCTAATCTGTTGGCCAAGGCGATGCTCATGAAGACCCACATGGACTGCGAGTGGTTGTGCCGTTTAGTTCGTCTGCCGGGCTTTTCATCGATGTGCAACGCACAAGGACGACTTTGCCTCGTGCCAGACTGCTGCCCTGGCCAGCGAAGTAATCATAATTCTAGACATGCCAAATATCGATCCCACTATCGTAGACCAGCAATCCTTTGCAATTGCCAAGGTTGGTGAGCCTTTGGAATGCTCGTTAGGAGCCCGTGAGTTGTAGAACGTTTTATTTTACTTTAATTTTATTTTGTAGCGTGCGAAAATTGGTGCTCGTGGAGACTGTGCTCTTCATGTCGGTGCATCGTCGGATATAATTACACCCACATATCGTAAATGGCTCCGTCAGCTGCTGGTCTAAAGATGTACTTCAACGAAACCTTTGAAACTCTTCGCCTCAATGATCTCACTGTTTGGGCAAGGTTTGTACTGGAAAACCTCTGAATGATTATCAATATTTCCCTCGAAAATTCTACGAATAATATCAACATTTTTTCAGAACTTTAAACATTGGCCTCTAAAATATTCAATTTGCTTCCATGCTGAGCAATTTTTATGTATATCTGAATAGTAAATAATTTTCATCGAACTTGTTATTTAAATATTCAATCGTTCCAATATTTTTTATATAATTTACTCATTTACCATGTCTTTAGGGTCTACCCATTGCATGCGAAGTGTGCTTTCATCATTTGTCCTTGACCGAAGAAAATTTAGAAAAGATAGGCAAGGTCAGGGGTAATTATTGTTCTCGTGATCGCTTCGACAAAGGAAATTTAACTCAAGCTCTGCTCTAAGTTTATCAAAAGTACAAATTTCATTATATTTTATCATTAAACAAACTTCAAGTTTTAATATTGTTCAAACTTAGTTCTGCTCAATTGTACATATAAAATTGTGAATTTAGGAATGATAAGTGAATACAGCTTTCACAATTTTATCTATGTATATAAAAAAAAATGATAATGTATAATCAAGCTTAAAATAATGATGGTTGAATTAATACCCCAATAAAAAACATGTGTTCACGTCAAAAAATGAAATTTAAAAACATTAACTTGGGAAAATAATAAAAATAGCTTAATTATTTCGTAAAGATGTGTTTATCTGAATAAATAATTATGAAAAAACAGTAAAATAACTGCAATAATTTATTGTCGTCTTAATACTTATATAATTTATATTTTTTACATTCTAGGAAAAAGATGAAGTTATGCAGCAAGTATGTTCACAGTAATGATGATTTGTTGATATCAAGGCACAGTTTTGACCAAGGCAAAATTTGGTTTTAAATTATCAATTCCTGAATCGTGACATCATTGAGTGTTTATAGATTAATGGGACGTTGCTGTGAAAAAACTATGACTGTAACCAACAATCATAACGAACATCTCCAGTTACTCGGCGATTCAGTTGCGGAATTCTTCACATCGATGCACTTGTTCCAAAATAATCTCAAGCGACTGTATTTTGAGTAAAATGATGATAAACAACATGGATATCGATGTAGAAATTAATAACCCTAGACAAGGCTCATTGGCGTGGCCAGTATGGGTGCCGTGGGTGCCGCAGCACCCCCACTAATTTTGAAGGAGCGCCTAGAAGCGGAATATTTAAAAATAAAAATCACCCATTTTTCACGCAATAAACATATAGATAACTAAATATGGAATCACCAGCAAACAAAGTGTCACGTATCAAGTGTAGTTGTTTGGCAGAATTTGATCAATCCCGAAAAAGTAATCGATCTTTTAATAAATGAAAAAAAAAAAGGCTGAAGTAAAAATGAGAGAAGATCAGAGACTTAAAAACATAGAATATATGAAAAAATTGATCGACATTATCATTATTTTAGCAAAAGGTGGAAAACCTTTGCGCGGTCGTAACGAGAAGGAAGAAAGTTGTGAAAGGGGATTATTTCTTGAAATAGTACAACTACTTAAAAAATATGATCGTGATTTTGAATCATATATAAATTTGGCTCCGAAAAATTGCACGTACCTGAGTAATTATATCCAAAATGATATTTTGCTCTCCATTAAAAATGTTATTTTAAGAAATATTCAAAATGAACTCAGTGGACAACCATTCTCTATTATCGCTGATGAAACTTCAGATGTAAGTCATCACGAACAAATAGCCATCGTTTTGAGATACGTTCCGATTGGAAGTATTTTATCGATTGAACGATTTATAGCTTTAAAACGCTTGAAGTCAACGGACGCAGAAACAATTTTTGGAGCGATTAATAGTACGATTCAAGATCTAGGTGCTTCATGGGACAATGCCATTGCTGTCTGCTTTGACGGGGCTTCAACTATGTCGGGACAGTCCACCGGTGTACAAACCAGATGTAAGGAGATGAACGCGTCAATTATGTACGTACACTGCCACGTTCACTGCCTTAATTTGTCACTTGTGGCTGCTTGTTCTAACCGTCTCGAAAACCCCAAGATTCTCGATTTTTTTGGTGTTATACAATTAATTTACAATTTCATCGAAGGCAACCCAAAAAGGCATGCTGTCTTTGAAGATGTTGTTAAATTAACCGATATCAAACTGAAGACTTTAAAGTCTTTATCTCAGACACGTTGGGCTTGTCGTGCTGAAGCTGTCGCATTTATTCAAGTACAATTAAAAGCTATTATTGAAGCTATTGAGAAGGTGGTAAGCGAAGCGACCGATCCGATAATTAGAGCAAAAGGCAATGGAATACTGAATCAAATTCAATCATTTGATTTCATTGTTTGCCTAGAAATTATGAATCCAATTCTTCAGCTGGTTGTTAAAGTTTCGAAAACCCTGCAATCACCCGAGCTAGATCTTTGCCAGGCAGTTGAAGAAATTTCAAGTTTGGTACTTGCTCTACAGGAATTGAGAATCGACGAGTCTATTTTCGATAATATATATAGCAGGATAGAAAATACACTAAATGATTTAGAAATTCAAATACCCATTCCAAGAAAACGAAAAGTTCCTGCGAAAATAGATTCAAATCCTTGTAATGAATACCAATTAAAGAGCACAAAAGAAGAAACCAGAAAATCGGTATTTTATCCTGTTTTAGATCAATTGGTACAGTTTATAAATGAAAAATTTGATCAAGAAACAAAATCAGTAATTTACTTTATGGGAAAATTACTGAAATAGGACTTGAATTTTGACCAAGAACGCGATGCACAGTCTACAACCAAAAAATTTGGCATCGACAATGATGAACTTCGAGCAGAAGTCAGATTACTTCGAACGAAGAAAGATACAAAATCATTTCCATGCACAGTAATTGAATGGCTTAATTGGTTATCTATACAGAATAGAAAACTTTGTTACCCCACTTTTTTATAAATTAGTATCTACGTTTGCGTCAATTCCTGTCACCAGTTGTACTTGTGAGCATAGTTTCTCTAAACTTAGCATTATAAAATCAAAGCTACGCTCAACAATGTTGCAAGATCGTTTGGAAAATTTAATGGTTCCATTTATTGAACAAGACTTGGCGGTAAATATTGATCCTATTGAGGTAATTGAAGAATTTAAAAAAATTGTTCCTTTTGATAGACGCATGGTATTGTAAAATAAATTATATTTTTATCAAATTTGTAATTTTATCTAAGTATCTCTTTTTTTGTACCCCTTTTTCTAAACTTACATTATCTATAATTATCAATAAAAATTAAAAAATTTTGTACTCATCAAAGTCTAAAAAAAATATATACAAGCTGAGCAGAAAATTTGAAATTGGCACCCACACTAGTTGAACCCTGGCTACGCTAATGACAAGGCTTTGGAGAAATATGGGATGCCCTTAAAACGAACGTCCTGAAATGAATGAAAAATGAATAAATTGATCAATAATAAATCAATTAATCTAAAAATTGTATAAAAAATCATTGCTATGTCTTACTTTTGTTTGTGTGTATCTGGAAAATGTTTATTTGTATGGTAAAATGTAATTAGCAACGTTAAATGTTTTTAAAACATCTCTACAAAATTTGTCGTGCAGATCACTATATGCTACCTTTACATACTCATTCAATTATATTATAGCACAAGCTTGTACATTAGGGCGGAACGAAAAAACACTTTTGACGCCGATCGCTTTGTAATAGTATTTTATCGAAAGTTTAAGATAAAAAAAGAGAAAAGCCGCGAGCTGGGCGCGAACAAATGATGTCTTCAGGTGGCGCATGAAGCCTGAAGTTTGAAATTCGTAAAAACAATATCTTTATGCTTCAGTATGAAATCGTTACCAAATTTTTCTGCACTGGATTGGCCGATTGGGCTGAAAGTTTCAGGGCTTGTTTTACATGTTGAAAGGAGTTTCTCTGTAAAATTTTAGCCCTCTAGGTGCCTTAGAAGCAAAGATATAGTCATAGGAAGGTTGAAAAATTACGTTACATTAATTTTTTTTTGTTCTTTTTCCATCTTCACACAGCTGTACGTTGCGTAATTTTGCTGCTATTAAAACGAACGAGTAACCAATTTCTTCGTCTTTTAAAGGCCTTTTCAACCATATAAATTTGTATAGTGTTTTTTAAATTTTTACTGAAGTTACAGTATAAAACGTCCAACATTTTGTGTCGCGCTCGAAACTACAATTGTTATTTTTTTTTCTGTTTCTTAAAAGTTACACATTCTAGACAAACTTGAACCCCAATGATAGTTATATGGCCTTAAAGAGCATAAAATTTCCTTTAATTTGGTGTATTTAAAAACTCTCTAGGTCCTCTAGAACCAAAGATACAGCTGTTTGAAGTTTTACCAAAAATGAAAGTACTGAATCTGTGAATCTATCATAGGCCAGATATGGTATGATCATCACACAATCGAATCTTACATTTTCAGTAAAACTTCAAACAGCTGTATCTTTGGTTCTAGAGGACCTAGAGAGTTTTTAAATACACCAAATTAAAGGAAATTTTATGCTCTTTAATGCCATATAACTATCATTGGGGTTCAAGTTTGTCTAAAATGTGTAACTTTTAAGAAACAGAAAAAAAAATAACAATTGTAGTTTCGAGCGCGACACAAAATGTTGGACGTTTTATACTGTAACTTCAGTAAAAATTTAAAAAACACTATACAAATTTATATGGTTGAAAAGGCCTTTAAAAGACGAAGAAATTGGTTACTCGTTCGTTTTAATAGCAGCCAAATTACGCAACGTACAGCTGTGTGAAGATGGAAAAAGAACAAAAAAAAATTAATGTAACGTAATTTTTCAACCTTCCTATGACTATATCTTTGCTTCTAAGGCACCTAGAGGGCTAAAATTTTACAGAGAAACTCCTTTCAACATGTAAAACAAGTCCTGAAACTTTCAGCCCAATCGGCCAATCCAGTGCAGAAAAATTTGGTAACGATTTCATACTGAAGCATAAAGATATTGTTTTTACGAATTTCAAACTTCAGGCTTCATGCGCCACCTGAAGACATCATTTGTTCGCGCCCAGCTCGCGGCTTTTCTCTTTTTTTATCTTAAACTTTCGATAAAATACTATTACAAAGCGATCGGCGTCAAAAGTGTTTTTTCGTTCCGCCCTATTGTACATGTTTATTAAACTGTGAAACGTCGATAATTCTACATATAAAATAGATACTGCTTTCTTCAATATGTTCGTTTTCGTATACAAAATGCTTTCTATTTGTCCAAACATCAACTGATCGTTTACTTTTAAAATTGATTATTAAATTTTTCTCGTAATCAATTCTTTTTACTGTAATTTTTTTTACTCTTGCCACTTCGTTGAATATATTTTCAAATTGTTTGTAATATATTAGATCTTTTACGTTGCTATTATCGGAGGTACCGATTACAGGTTCATCCTTAAAATACGGATTTTTTAAAAATGTACAACTAAGTCTCACTTGATGATCGATTGCCAATGATTTGTTTAAATTTTTTCTACATCTAATTCTTCGAGCTGCCGCTTTAACCCGTTTCGGGCGAAACGGACGAAATTTCCTACATTTTTTCCGGTGCTATAAACTTTGTGAAAAAAATTTCTGAAAAATGTTTAAATAGTCATTTCTGACGTGAAATTGTATGAACTTTTCGAATCTGGGGCCAGAATTGTCAAAAAAGTTGAGGAGCAAAAGTTATGAACAATTAAACAACAAAAAACACGATTTTTTTGAAAAAAATTTTGATTTGACCTAAATTTTCGAATCAAAAGAGGCTTGATCCGTGGGTCTAACATATATTTTTTGCGTCCATGGGGTGTAGACATAAAAGTCCAATAGTTACAATATCAAAAATCAATATGGTGGACAACAAAATGGCGCCTCGTAAAAAAACCATGTATAAACTTGGTCAATTTTTTTATATGCTAACCCAGCTTCTAGGAAAAAAACTTTACTTAGAAAAAGTTTTTAGAATTGTTCAAAACAGGCCCCTGAATTTTTTCAGAATTTTCGGGGGAAACTTTTGGATTTTCGAAAATGATCAGAAATCAAAATTACCAAAAATGATCCAAAAAAATTTTAAAAAAGAACATAATTGGTTTTCATAACTTGAAAATGAAGAACTTGAGCAAAAAGTGTTGTACGTTATAAAAGTCTTAGAATATTTCAAAGAACATGTCTGAATTTTTTAAGATTTTTTTGGATCATTTTTGGTAATTTTGATTTCTGACCATTTCCGAAAATCTAAAAGTTTCCCCCGAAAATTCTGAAAAAATTCAGGGGCCTGTTTTGAACTATTCTAAAAACTTTTTCTAAGTAAAGTTTTTTTCCTAGAAGCTGGGTTAGCATATAAAAAAATTGACCAAGTTTATACATGGTTTTTTTTACGAGGCGCCATTTTGTTGTCCACCATGTTGAATTTTGATATTGTAACTATTGGACTTTTATGTCTACACCCCATGGGAGCAAAAAATATGTGTTAGACCCACGGATCAAGCCTTTTTTGATTCGAAAATTTAGGTCGAATCGAAATTTTTTTCAAAAAAATCGTATTTTTTGTTGTTTAATTGTTCATAACTTTTGCTCCTCAACTGTTTTGACAATTCTGGCACCAGATTCGAAAAGTTCATACAATTTCACGTCAGAAATGACTATTTAAACATTTTTCAGAAATTTTTTTCACAAAGTTTATAGCACCGGAAAAAATGTAGGAAATTTCGTTCGTTTGGCCCGAAACGGGTTAAATGACTGGTGTTTCGCTTCTCAACGCATGCATGACACATCTTTCATTGGCCCTAGTTTTGGACCCTAGTCAACGGACCTTCGAAAAATTCGATGTACATAGTATTTAAATTTTGTACCATTAATGCGAAATCATCTGTTTCTTCTCTTGTGAAATCTCTCCTGTCCAAAAAATGTATTATGTCATTTAGTGTAGTGTAAATTTTATAACGATCGTCATCAATAGGAATTTTGTCACTTATTATTAGTCCAAAATGTTTGCAAAATGTGTGCATTTCTGATGCAGAAAAACCTAAATTATTATTTCCCAATTTTGAAGTATCTATGAAAGGAGGTCTATTACGCTTGCCGATAATTCCAAAGTTGTACATCCCAATTGAGTCATTCAAGTCATTTAGAGTAAAATAATTTTTCTTTAAACAGTATAAAATTAATTTTGCTATCACATAACGACATACTCCCTCCCAAAGATCGTGCATAACTTCACAGGCTGCATTTTGTATGCAGTCATAATAATTTAAAATATTAAACAGGCATTCTGAATTGATCCCAGTTTCTGATACATTCTTAACAATTAGATTCGATTTATAGTTCTCCGGAGTTCGTAATAAATCTTCTCTTTCCACGCAACATGTCTTCATATCTTCTCTATGTATTTTACACATTCTGCAACAGTAATTGGCCCTAAAACACTCTACGAATCTCAAAAATTCATGTACACCTAAATTATCACCTGTTATTAGAACTAAACGTATATAGAATTTTATATCATCTTTTATATAAACTGGTGTCTTTTCGAGTTCTATCAATTCGTCGAGTAATGGCTGAAGAATTTTTTGATTTCCGAACAGTTTTTTATCATTACTATTGAAAAGAAGTGTCAAAAATTGATTTTCAAGGAGAGATCGGAATTCTGGAGGCATGCTCATAAGAGAAAAGTAAACGCCCGCAGTTTTATAAGTCCCAGCATGGCCCCCATGCGGATCAGCAGTTTCAAATTCATT